GGAAGTGATCCAGACTTTGTAATGGCTAGCACAACTAATGGCTTCCAAATTACCCTTGCAAACCAGCCCCCTAATTCCCCAGATCTAAACATTCTAGATTTAGGTTTTTTCAGGGCCATACAATCAATGAAGGAGCAATCAGCACCCACCAATGTCAATGAGTTAATGCAGGCAGTTCAAGATGCGAACAATCACTTCTCAGCCCATTCACTAAACAAAGTATAGCTTAGTTATCAAAATGTTATGCAAGAGGTAATGAAGGTTGAAGGGGGAAATAACTACAAATTGCCACACATGGGAAAAGATGCCATGCATAGAGAGGGGACACTGCCTTATGTACTACAACTAGAAGAAGGTGTGTTTGATAGAAGTGTTGCACTCCTTGGTGAGCATAACATGCCAAATCAACATGTGGTTGAGACACATGAACTCCTTTTGGGTCAGTTCATTCTTGAAGAAGATGAGGAGATCATTCTTCAAGATTGAACTAACACCTTACTACACGTATTTGTGGTTGTGTATATATTTTGTGTATGATAGTGGTTGTATCTTGCTTTGGGTTTTTTGAATTTTGGGTTTTTGAACAAGCAGCAAGCACACATGCAAATTGTACTCCAATATAAGTATGGATTAGTTAGTACTCATCATTGCAGTTATACTCATCATGTTATGCACACACAAATACCTAATTAGAAGGTCATGTGCACACACATACCACATCATAGCATGCTCAGGGGATTCAAGGGACAACTTATGTGCACACACATACCACATCATAGCATGCTCAGGGGATTCAAGGGACAGGTTATGTGCACACGCACACACACTAAAACAGAAGCACCCACATCATAGCATGCCCAGGGGATTCAAGGGACACCTTATGTATGCACACATATGCAATAAGAAGGTAATGGCACACACACTAAAACAGAAACAACAACCACATCATAGCATGCTCAAGGGATTCAAGGGACACCCTATGTGTGCACACATATGTAACCAGAAGGTAATGGCACATACACACTAAAACAGAAACACCCACCACATCATAGCATGCTCAGGCCGTTCAAGGGACACCTTATGTGTGCACCCATAGGTTTTCAGATTCCAATGGCACACACACACACTAAAACAGAAACAACAACCACATCATAGCATGCTCAGGGGATTTAAGGGACACCTTTTGTGCACACACATAAGTCTTCAGATTCCAATGGCACACACACAGTAAAACAGAAATTGCAACCACATCATAGCATACTCAGGGGATTCAAAGGATAGCTTATATGCACACACATAGGTTTTTAGATTCCAATGGCACACATACACTAAACAGAAACACCAACCACATCATAGCATGCCCATTGGATTCAAGGGACACCTTTGGTGCACACACATAGCTCTTCAGATTCCAATGGCACACATACATTAAAACAGAAACATCAATCTCATCATAGCATGCACAGGGGTATCAAGGGACAGCTTATGTGCCCACACATAGGTAATCAGAATTTAATGGGCAAACATACATAAAAATAGAAGCACCAACCAAATCACAACAGGCTCAAGTATAGCAGAAAATCAAAAATACTGAGAAGAGAAGAGTTAAGAGTACACACTTAGGTAAATCTAGACCTAGCAAAACTGACCCGGACCCGATAACCCGAACTGAATAACCCGGAACCAAACCCGATTTGACCCAAAAACTGAAGAACCGAAATAGACCCGAACACCCGAAATGACCCGAACCCGAACCGTATGTATTCAGACCTAATTCATATCCGAATCCGATAAAACCCGAACTGATAAAACCCGAACCCGATTAAACCCGGAACCGATTAGACCCGAAATTGATTAAATTTTATGTACGTCCGTGTTAAATAATAAAATGACTACATAGTATATCATAAATTGATTAAATTTATTATGTGATATTATTGATTTATTAGTAAATATTTGATATATATTTGAACTAATATAAACCTAAATCGATACAAACCCGAATCGATATAAACTCGAACCGATACAAATCCGAACCGATACAAACCCGAACCGATATAAACCCGATCCGATACAAACCCAAACTGAAACCGAACCGAAATCGAAAACCAGTCAAACCGAAATGAACCCGGAACCGAACTGACCCGATCCAAACCGATCCGAACCGATTATAACATATATCCGAATGAGACCTAAACCGAAAAGACCCAAACCAGAACCGAACCGATTGACCCGATTGCCAGGTCTAGGAAATTCCCATCCTGGAATCAGAATCTTTAGGAAGTCATCACATGCATGATTTCAAACACACAAAGCGTGATGGGGCCTTCCAAGAGTCAACGGGGTTTTCGTCTTCCTCTGAATCAGGTACCACCTCTTCGAGATTCTCAACCTCATTAGCTAGTACATTCGAGGGAAGTTGCTTAATCACCAATTCCCTTACCGGAGAGATGATTTTTTCAGAATTAACAGGTTTGTCCAGATCAGTGAAGAAATTTGGAGTCTCAGAAATTATACTCTGCAAATCTTCAGATTCCATCGAAGATGAATGGATTAAGGGCTGTGGGTGTGGGTGAGAGCAACTAAGGAGAGATCGAAATTTATTTCAGGGAGAAGTTGAAGAGGTGAGTTTGGGATGAAGAGAAATCTGAGATCTAGATCTCAGATAGAGAGAGGAGAGGCAATGAAGGCTCACGTTTGAAAAAAGGAGAAAATATGGAGTAAATTAGATGGGAGGTGTAGGTGGGGTAGTTTAGATTAATTAAGGTGGGTAGGGGGGTTGAGTGATCTGAAATAAATTGAGGGGTATAAAAGTCATTTTAGTATGGAATCCTTACCAAAAAAGGAAATGAAAAATTTATTTATGGACGGATGAAAAAGAAAAGTGGAAAATTTTTTTGTGTACCGAGGAGAGTAAGTATTACTCCGTATTATAAACATTAGTTGACTGGTCATTACCGCAGTTTGACCGATCAAGGTGATTCATAATTTTATGGAAAAGATTACTGCTGGGTACCCTGTATTTTATGATAAGAACTGTCAGGTCCCATTATTTTTTAAAATGTACTCCAAGGTACCTTAAAATAACAAAAAATTACTCCGGGGTGACATTCCGTCACTTTCTTGGTTAAACTCCAATTCTCCGTTAACTTTTCTTCTTCCCCCATTTTCGATCTTCTTTCTTCTTCTTCTTCTTCTTCTTCTTCTTCTTCTTCTTCTTCACGTTCGGATCTCATCCCGCCCTCCACCCTCCCCTTTTCTCTTCTTCTATTTTTGTTTTGTTTTAAATTTTTTTCTTCTTATTCTATTATTATTATTTGTTATTAATTTTTATTATTATTATTATTATTAAAATTAATTAGTATTTTTACCACTCTAATTTTTAAGAAAAATAGTGGAGTAGCACTTATTATTATAACTTCATATTTATAATTATTTTGTTCTTATTCTATTATTATTATTATTAATTCTCCATATTATTTTTATTTATAATTGTTAATAATATTATTCAAACTAATTATTAGTTTTACTACTCTTTTTTAAGAAAAATAACACTCATTTTTATTTAGAAAAATATAACTTATTATAAAAAACAATTATAATTATTAATAGTATTATTTATTAAAAGCAATTATTTAGTAATTTTAGTACTATATTTTTTTATAAAAATAATAGTACTTATTATTATTACTTTTTATTAATTATTATTTACTTCTTTTTATTTTACTTTTTTACTATTGTTTTAATATATAATTATTATTAAAAATTAATGAGTAGTTTTACCACTCTTTTTTAAGAAAATAACACTTATTATTATTTAGAAAAACAACACTTTTTATTTAAAATAAAACTTAATATTATCATTATTAAAAAAATTATTAGTACTTTCACTATTCTAATTTTTTTTCATTTGATGTTCTTTTTCATATTAGTGACGCAGTAGTCATCGATAGCCGCCATTATAAATGTGACGTATAATTTATAACCAAGTGAATAAATAATCTTAATTTTATAAACTATACATAAATATATCATACGAAAATTAATTTTTAATTAAAGCTTAACAATACTTTAACCTATTTTTACGCAAGTGAAAAATTAGAATTTGGAAAAGGTCAATGGGGGCATACAAAGTAAAAAAAACTAGAAGAAAATAAAATTTTAAGAAGTAAATAGTAATTATTACTGTTATTTTTCTTAAAAAAGAATAGTAAAACGAATAATTTATTTTTAATAATAATAGTAATAATTATTAATAAAAATAATACAGAGTAATTAATAATAATCATAATCATAATAATAGAATAAGAAGAAAATAATAATAAATATGAAGTAAAACTAATAATTAGTTTTAATAATATTATTAACAATTATAAATAAAAATAATATGGAGTAATTAATAATAATAATAGAATAAGAACAAAATAATTATAAATATGGAGTTATAATAATAAGTACTACTCCACTATTTTTATTAAAAATTAGAGTGGTAAAAATACTAATTAATTTTAATAATAATAATAATAGTTAATAACAAATACTCCCTCCGTCCCCCTAAGATCTTCTCATTTTGACTTTATGTGGTTTTTAAGGAGAGTTGAAAAAAGGTGAAAGTTTACCATAACACCCTTAATGAAAATGGGTGGAGTGTATTAAATGAGGTGGGTGAGGTGTAATAAATAAAGTAAGTGGGGGTAGTTGTGGTATTTTGATTGTTAAAAGATGAAATGAGAAGATCTATTGTGGACAAAGAAAAAAGGCTATTGGAAAGATCTATGTGAGACGAAGGGAGTAATAATAATAGAATAAGAAGAAAAAAATTTAAAACAAAACAAAAATAGAAGAAGAGAAAAGGGGATGGTGGAGGGCGGGATGAGATCCGAAGGTGGAGGAGGAGGAGGAGGAGGAGGAGAAGAAGAAGAAGAAGAAAGAAGAAGATCAAAATGGAGGAAGAAGAAAAGTTAACGGAGAATTGGAGTTTAACCTACAAAATGACGGAATGTCACTCCGGAGTAATTTTTTTGTTATTTTAAGGTATCCGTATATTTTAATGAATAACGGGACGTAGCAGTTCTTATACAAAATGTACGTGCGGTCCTATTTTCATTTTTCAGAAGATTCCTACAAAACACTTACAGTATGAGAGAGATGAGGCTCATCATTTGTTGTCATAATATATTCCGTTAACAGCCAAAGGGCCAAAACAGGTTTTCACCGGAATTTGTCTTCCCTCCATGACGCCGGACGGGGACATTGCCGACGGCGAGTTTGTACTTCTCATCTGCGCGGAGCCGGACCAGACGAACACCGAAGGCGATGGCCATGAGATCATCATATCGACGGATACAATTGTGGATTGGGACACGGCTTCTATTCTCACACACCAGATTGTCAAAATAAAAGCCAATCGTCAAAGGCATCTCACATCTGTTCCCCATCTTTGTGGCCATAATCTTAACTCTGTGAATATTTTATTCCATTTCAAAAATAAATTTAGCTCCAATAATAATTTATTCCATTTTATGCATGTTCAGGCTCATTGAGCAGTCTTCCTATTTTAGATGCCTCTTGAACGGAAGCTTCAGGTATTATAGTGTTTTGAATCGATGTCTAAATGAAATTGTTTGCATTTCTTTTATATAGTTCTTATATTTTTGCGGCAGAGTTGGTTCGTTTATGATGATAAATACCATCACATTAGGTCCTAAAATGAAGTGTAATTTCAAATAGAACTTATGATGATAAATATCATCACATTAGGTCCTAAACTAAAGTGTAATTTCAAATATACTTAAATACACGTAGTCTTTTTTATGAAATATAAAATCATTATTAACCATTGGCGAGATAGTTTACATATTGGGATGTATGAATATGGTAGAAGATCCAAATAAGCAAAGAGAAAAGAGGATTGCTGTAACATCAGGCTAGGTGGTTGGTGAGCTTGGTCACAGTCATGTTCCATGGTGTCAATGATGTGCATATTGATTTTTAATGCCAATTTGTAATGAGTATCTCAGATCCTCACTGGGCAATGATACCATGCATTCAAGTGAAAATGATGACATTTCTGAAGTAAGGATATTCGGTGTAAAGCGTTATCCCTAAGCTTTTCTGTATGAATTGGTGTTAACTAATTTTATGAAATTAATTAAGTGGGACTACCCCAACATAGTTTGGATTAAGGATGGGGAAGAGAGTGGTACTAGACTCTTAGAGCATGTCCAATACATGCTAAAATGAGAGGCCCTGTCCTATCCTTGTCAGATTGTGGGACTGCCATAGCGTTGGAGTATATGTAGAAAATGGGCCGAGTCCCTCCTTGGTGGGACAGTCCCAAGCCTAAAATGAAAAAGTATTTGCACAGTCAACAACGCATACGGAGTAAATAACTAAAAAATCCCTTTCAAATATAGCTACAGGGCTGTAAAAAACTTTCCTTTGCACTAACAATAACTAACTGGGATCTCAAAATAGGACTCCCATTTTAGGTGGGAGTCCCATTTTAAGGAGTCCTACTTAATATCTATGTGGCTTTTTTTTATGTGGCTTATTTTGGTCCCACTTAAAATGGGACTTGGGACACTAGCATTGGGCATGCTCTTAAGTTGGGCCTTTCATGTATTAAAGGAAAAAGATTGGTTCAGCTAGGAGACAAACCCACCTTTCCTATTTTGCCAAGCTATGATTGGATATATTGTGAACGTGGGTTAAAAATTGCGGTTACAAGTTGTAGCCAATCATTTGTTAAATAATAATAAAAAATGTAATACACACTTCTTATTGTCATTTTCCAAAAAAAGTTAAACTGTATATTACACCAAACATGTTAATTTGAATTGTTTGATTTAAAATATCAAAACATGAAGTATATAAACATGTGCACGATGTCCAATGAAATCTTTGAATGACGTGAAATATTTCTATTGCAGTGAAGCTTGCTTTGATTGTGTATCAATCAATTGGAACACTGAACTGTTTTTGAACGTTTTGCGGTTTATGTGTGGATATCCCGTGGATATTACTCCAGAAAGTTTTGTGCCTTTTTGTGAGGTACGTTTAGTCCTGTTCTTTTGGCAGTTTTAGTTTTTTCCATCAAAAGAAGTGTTAGTGACAGAATGATTCTTAATTGCCAAAAGGAATAGTTGCTAATCAATTTGAAGCATTTGGCTATCAGTTTTACTTATACTCCAACCATGTCCGTCATTACAACTAAAAATTTAAGTTTTCAAAGAGAATACACTTTTTTATTGTTTTACTTTAACAGCCGCATGAGTCATGACCACTTGCTCAATTACTGAAGACTTGATGAGTATTTGGAAAAACTAGACACAATAATTTTGATGTCAAGCAGTGAAATTGATCTAAGCATATGAACCTTTTGCCCACCAATCCAATGCCATATTTTATTAGGGGTTCTATCATCATCATCATCATTATCAACACCTTAATCCCTTCTAGTTCTTCCATTGGGGTGGGTGGCATGGAATTTATAGTGCCAATTAATTTGCTTAAAATTATTCAACACTAAACTCATGCAAAAGGCATAGAGGCAATTTTTTATGTCGGATTCCCTTTGTCAAGGAACCAACTCAACCAAAAGCTCAAGCTTGTGGTTGTGGCCCAAGATTTTTTTATACTCTAACATGCCCCCTCACCTGTAGGCGTAGTCTTTTTGAGCCTTGCACGTGAAATCTTATATTTTTTAAAACTGGGTGGCGCTGAGTTTTGAACCTGTGACCTCTTTGTCAACAAGGCTTTGATACCATGTTTGTGGCCCTGGAAAGGTTTTTTATATACTAACATGTAACATGAAATATATCATGGTATCAGAGCAAGTTTTAGCCCACCTTGTTTGTCAAGGTGTCCGTTGACGTTCATTCATAGCGCCCCTAATCTTTTTGTTCGTCAGGAAGTCCATACTCAGCGGCTTGTGGTCCTTCAAGTGTTGGTGCTCAAAAAAACAAGGGGACGTGAATTCATTTGCAAGTGGTCAACCGGTTAGATTCAAAATGACTTGGTTGGCCACTTGAGAGAGAGTGTTAGAGTCTATCCCACATCGAAATTGAAAAGAATATAACAGGTTTATAAGCTCTTGAGTTAAACTCGTTAATCCCTTGGAATCATCTTTTAATGTGGTTCAACCCAAGTATCTTATGGCTCAATCCGTTGACCCTTACACAATCTTAAATTGTATCACCCTTCATTGCACAACTGCCAACCTTCATAAGAAAGAATGTTGAATGTCTTAGTATGAGGGGTTTAATCCGGCTCAAAAATTTTATTTAATTGAGACTTCCAGTTACTGATAGTAGTTTTCAACTTAAATTTATGTTGCTTCAACTTTGACATCAGGCTGCACTGTTTTTTGGAGTGGATTGTCTCCTCTCCAAGTGTCAAAATTGGTTAAATAATGTGACTTCATACAAAAGGATTTTGCTTCCACAAATTCAATTAAGTGACGTCATCACCATTTGGAAATATGGCATAGAGAATGGTAAGTGTGTCTTTGATTGTGAGCGACTAAAACTTATGAGCATGGAGCACAACATAATAATGATCATGTTTTTACTCCTTTGCTGTCCACATTACAGCTTGTGTCTTATAGATTAAAGTGTGATATGATGCAGCAATTGATTTCGTATTACAAATATGTCCGGTCTATCTTTCCATCAACTTCGTAAGTGCTTAAAATCGCACTGAGCCATTAGAAGCTAGTTCATGCTTTTCTTAAATTACATTTGATTATGGAATCCTTTTTTTTAACTTATAATTAACTAAGTCAGATGTGATACCTTTTCTGCAGATGTGGGCAATTTCATGTGAGTCTTTTCACAATGTTCCGTATGAACTGTTATATTCATGCATAAAGAATCCTAATTTGACAGTAGACAGGTTAGAGAAGCTCATTTTTCATTGGATCTTCAAACACACACTTGCATACAGACACTATCTTATCGAATACCAACCATGATTGATCACTCTTTTGCACAGTGAGAAACATCTTTGTGGTGCTATTCTAGCTTGGCTTAAGGCTAATACCGGAGAGCTTGGGTCATCAAGCACTACAATAAATGATTACACTGAAATTTTGGCAGAGGTAGGGGTGTGGTTCTGCAGTGCTCAAATACTTTTTGATGTCTTGTTAGTTGTTACACACACACAAGACTAGTGTGAAACTGTGTTCATGAGACATTGTAGCCATCTAAGGGTTGAGCATGGTTCAAAAGGGGTGCTGATATAAAATATGGAGTAATTTTCTTATGAAGTTGATATTTCATGATATAAACAATCAACATTGTAAAAAGCGCTAGGCTGGCCACAAACTAGGGTCTAGTGCCTAGGTGGGGTTAAATCAGAGGTGTTAAAAAAAGCCTCATACTTAGGTGGAGAGATTTGTAGGTTCCGGGTGGAGTTTCTTACAATAATGTAAACTAGACAATGGTAGTAAATATCGTCTTGGCCTTATTGTGGAGGTGAAGCCCTTGTTAGGAGGTGCAAGAGGCTGGCGGTAGCAGGAGAGAGTTGGGGTAGAGGCAGACTTAGGAAGAGTTGGATGGAAGTGATAAGGCAGGACTTATGACTCCATGATTTCACCGAGGATATGGCCTTAGATGAGGTGTTGAAAGACATTTCACGATCTGATTATATTAGCCTTGATAGTGTTATGGAACAAATTAGCAAAAGGGAATGTTAGGATTTCTTTGTTATCTTCACTCTGTTTTCCCCTATAATTTTAAACATTAAATACACAATTACAATTGCTATTTTCCTACCTTTATGTACTACACATTCACAAGATATCCTTTCTCAAGAAACTATTATTGTGTGATATTTCATAATTCCTTTATTTTATTCATTTTATATTTTAGCTCAAGCACAGAACTGATGGATTTTCCAGTTTGTCTTTGGTGCTTGAGCTAAAGAAAACAACAACAAACCCAACATAGCCCCACCCACATCTTGCCCTCTCCTCCCCACTTGTGGGCCTATTGTGGTTGTTGCTGATTGTTTTAATTGAAGCATGATAAGAATCCTAGTTAGTACAAGATATTTATTAATTTTTAATTGTTGGGATATTTTATTATTTTAGGAGTTTTATTCAATTTTTACTTTGTTATATTTTAGGATCTCATAATATTAGGATAAGATTACTCTGTTTTTATCTTTAATTTTTAGGGATTTCAGTTATCTTATTATTCACTTGTAGTCATACTCTATAAGAATTCTGGTCTATCTCTAGTATTTTTCAAGAGTATTATCATTTTCAATTTGAGATTCGCCATTGTTGACTATTGAGAAATTGAGTGAGATCCTTGCTCACAAAAGTTCCAGTAGATTTTCTCCTTTCTTTTCCCATTCGGTTCCACTTTTGTTCTTATCATTTGGTATGAGAGAATGTCAAAAATGGTCAGTACGCATTCCAATCCCCCTAATACTTCTGATCCGGTGTCTACTACTGTACCAGACACCTTGCCCTCCATTGCTCATTAATTTGAGACCTTGGATGTGTTGGCAAACAAGGTGGCATCCGTTGAAGCTGCATCAGAAGGTGCTAAGCGTGACAAAGGAAAACAACATTAAGGTGAAAAAGGCGACAATGAATCAAATGTATTCAGAAGAGGTTCTAAGTCACCCCACATCAAAATCAAGTTTCCCAAATTTAGCGGTGGCGATACCCGAGGTTAGATGTTGAAGGTTTTAATAAGTGGCCGACACTAGAGGGGGGATGGTGAATAGTGTTGTACGAGAATGTTGACAATTTTTTTTTTGCGGAATTAAAATCGTTGAATGAAATGTGGAAATAAAAGTTCAAAAGAAGAACACAAGAGATTTATTCTGGTTCACCATAACTTGTGGCTAGTCCAGTTCCGGAGTGACTCACTCGAGATTCTACTACCCTACCAAGCTTACCAAGTGCTTGACAAGCCGTTTACAACCGCTTGTATATCCCCTCTACAAGACTTCAACCGCTTGCACTCCTCGTCCAAGGCTTTACTCTACTAAGATTACGAGTTCTTAGCAAACCGGAACAAAACAAGAAGATATGATCTTCTTAACCTCTCCCTAACAAATAAAACTCACTCAAAAGATTAGATGAAGAGATAACAATGAAAGCTCTATAAGCAACACCGATGGCTCAAGAGAAGCTCAACAAAAGCTTATTAAAATGTGTAGAATATAATGAAAGCTATTATATGTGAGGAAGAGTTGTTGATGAGAATGATGTTTGAAAGCCCGTATTTATAGGTTAAAAAAGCTTGAGACCGTTGGGGGTTAATTTGGTAAGAAAAACAACTATTTCAGCAAAGAAAAGCACTAGGAAGATGCTTAAAAACGGCCGACCATCAATTGTCTTTTTTAGAACATCGAATGGTTGTTTAAAAACTGACTGTCGGGGCATAATGGACATAACATCATTGATGATATAAAGAGGCACCATCGATTGTCTTGTGATTTTTATTAAACATTAACCCAGCATCAAGTGACCATCAATTGTCCAAGTGGTGACCACCGATTGTCCAAGTGGTGACCATCGATTGTCCTAGCGGTGACCATCGATTGTCCTAATGGTGACCATCTGTGCAAATTTTTCCCAAAACACGGATTTTTCACAGATGCAACTTTCTAGCTTCCTACGCTCAAAAAACACCTTTCAAATGTTATTCCCACAACAAAAAAATATTTGAACGGATATTTTTGAAGTGTTTTGGCTTACAGAAACACATTTAAAAATCCAAAATACATTTTAAAAGTAAATAAAAGTGTTTGAAATAAACGTTTTGAGCCAAGAGAAAATGAAAAGTGTTGTCCTTACAAAAATTCCACCCAATGACCTACGTCTTTTGGATCTTTGGTCTTGAATATTATTCTGTTCTCATCTCTAATTTTTGGGGATTTTCAGTTATCTTATTATTCACTTGTAATCAGACGCTATGAATAGTCTGTTCTATCTCTTGTACTTCTCATCGGTGAGAAATAAACATATAACTCTCTTACTCTCTCAAGCCCCAATTAATTGTCCCTTTTCGAATAACTTGCAAAATCCCATCTCTTTTAAAATTATTTTATTTACAAATTGGTATAGAAATAAAAAATTACAACTTAAAAACTACATAAAAAATTCTACAAAATAAGTGATGACATGCCTATTTTATTTTATCAAATCATCAATGAAAACACATACGCTAACAAAAGTTGTCGGAAGCCTGGAATAATGAAGAGGCCAATTAATTGGGGATGGAGTATTATTTTCAACTGGAGATTATCCATTGTTGGCTAATGAGAGTTATTGAGTTAGATCCTTTCTCAAAACATCTTAATAGATTTTATCCTTTCTTTTTCTATTAATTTCCACTTTCGTTCTTATCAAAGTTCCAGACACAAATTAGAAAATCCATCAGTTCTATACAATCTCCTATGTGTAAGCTCTATTAGCAAAAGTTGACTGTATATGGAACATAGTTATGAAATCTCTTTTATATCTGCCTATCCAATCTCCTCCTTCACAGGGAGACTGCAGTTTGCTTCTATTAATGTTGCTTCTTTGGAGATTTTGTAATCCTTGCATTTTTATTTTCTTTTTTGACATTCTTTTGCTGTTTTGCACCATATGTAGTTCTAAATTGAAGGCAAATAATACATTAGGTTGTGTGATTTCTTTCACATGTGAGTAGATTATTTCTAGATTACTGTACCGAGATATTTAATATGATACTCATTGCTTTTGATTTGTAACAGATCCGTGTCAGACTATTGCCTTTATCTTTTGCTGCTGGTATGACTTTCTTCTGTTGCTTTACTTAGGAAACCATAGTAGTGATCCACATACTTTGAGCTTTGTCAAGGAACCAATTCAACCAAAAGCTCAAGCTTATGGTTGTGGCCCAGGAACATTTATTTATATTCTAACACGCCCCCTCACGTGCAGGCGTAGTCTTTTTCGAGCCTTGCACGTGAAACCTTAATTTTTTTAAACTGGGTGACGCGGAGTTTCGAACCCGTGACCTCTTAGTCAACCTGGCTCCGATACCATGTCAAGGAACCAACTCAACCAAAAGCTCAAGCTTGTGGTTGTGGCCCAGGAATGATTGTTATATACTCTAACAAGCTTCAAATTTCAACATACTTTGGTACTTGTTTCAGCGAAAAGAAGATGCAACTTCTTTTCAAAGATTGCGAATTCGGGTATCGACAGCATTTTTACTTTAGCAAGATATCCATCTGCAAGTTCAACATACGGTCTTGATGATGAAGACTCTAGTCATCTTAGAATCCGATTGACTAAACATACTAAGGTTACACATTGCTAAATACCGTAATGATGTCTGACGAGTGACGACCATTCTTTTTTATTTAGAATTATTATTTTGGAGACAAGGTGTCTTGGCCCTCATTGGCACTGTTTGATATCCTATGATTAATACATATTACTTCTACCAGGGTCTCATTTCAAAACTTAGGAAAGTCGACTTTGACCAAAAAAAACTATTGAACTCTGTCTTTCTGTTTGATTTTTTTCTGGATTCATGTATGTGCTATCAGAAAAGTTTTGAGTGTGCTAGAACCGAGAGAGTTTTATAATAGCTGTAAAAAAATGCGGCGGGCCTTCAAAGTTCTGTAGTCTATATCTTTTTGCAATTTGGTTCCAGAGTTTGATAAATTCATTGTATTCAATTGCAGGGTTTTTCTTTTATTACATAATTTTCTAACGTGGAGATTTTTATCTTGCAACTTCTTTTAGGCTGTTCTTCTAAGAGAATTTCCATACTGTTATTTTTGCCTATTTGACATCGATAGATATAAATCAGATTTCATTGAGCTGCTTTAATATTAATTTTCCTCATTTATGATGAATAAAATGGCTGATAGAGGATGGTAAATCTTTATCATTGTGATCATATGCAGCATATTTTATTCATTATTTTTAAAATCGTCGGTTGTTCCTTCGCTTTCTGATTTTTTTTGCTTCCTTGAAGTATAGTTGTAATCTAAATTCAACACCGGATTTTGACAGAATATTTCTTACTTATATTGCAAACCAATTTGATATTTCTTCTAAACGTTTTCTCCATTGAAATACTGCAGAAAGTGGACCTTTCAGGTTGTCTTCAATTCAGTCCTGCCCTTCTTCTCTTATCTGTGCTTCATTCTTCATATAGCATGGATCCCATTTTACAAGATAAAATTAAGAAGCATTTTCTTGCTTTTGAGCATCATTTTGGAGATAACTCTGAGATTTCCTGGCAATCATTTCCAATTTTGTCTTTTGAAGGAGTACACGAGGTGGATATATCAAACTGTCAATTCCCAGTTCTTAAACCTATTGTAGAATGCTTTTCCAGGTCCTTTCCATCATTAAAAATATTAAAGGCTACTAATTATTCAAAACTCCCAACTGGAATGTTGTATCAATTGGTGCAAATGTGCTGTCTACTCTCTGATGTAGACCTCAGTGTAGACATTAGCCCAATTATGCCGACCAAAGTTAGAATTAAGTCTTCACACCCCGATGTAACACCACAAGGATCAAGAGGTATCACTCCTACGGATGCTGTTTCATTCTCATATGACCTTGGTCTGCAGCAATCAAATATAACTAATCTCACGTTGGAAGGCCGAACAGATATATCAGGTAATATACATTTGATCATGAAGGATGGTTGTGTCCAAATTTCAGTGGCCCAACAAAGATCTCATTTGCTCTGTATATTTTTGTATCACAGAATTCTGAATGCATTTGATTATCTGTAATATATGTGTGTGTGTGTGTATATATATATAACTGTCTTCACTTCTTTTCTAATGTTTTTAATTCAATCTCAGACCGCCATATCTTCTTTTTCATGGAGTTCTGTCCATCCTTGTGTTACGTTAACCTCCGAGGCTGTATATCTTTGACTGATGATGGAATATCAGTTTTACTGCTTAAGTGCATAAATCTTCACTCCATCTTCGTTTGTGATACTTACTTTGGACGGAATTCGGTTTTGGCTCTTTGCCATGGTGCTTCTAAATTTGATGGTTCTGAAGCACTAAAGTATAAAGACCTCTCTAGTTCTGTGGCTTCTAAACTTCAAATCTTGCATATGGGTGGCTGCAAAAGTAAGTGAACTTTTAGTCCCCTTATTTTTGTCACTGTGCATTCTTTAGCTTCCTATTACACTATGAACTTTTGTCGAGTTTCCTGTGCATGTTGATTTTTATCGCTACACATTTAATTTGGGCTAATCCTTCCTTTTTAGTTTTTTTCCATTTTGGGGTTGTGTGTGCATGTGTGTTGTCAATTTCTTGTTGCGAAGTGTTAATTAACCAGGTCCCCCATATTTAATGAAAAAAACGAATGAGTTAGAAAATGGAAAGGGACCTCTCTTTATGGTTGATTGCTATTCAAACCAACGTTCTCTCTCTCTCTTCTATATTCAACCACACAATCAACTCCCCACGACAATTCAACCGCATAAAATCTTAATCAACCTTGCTAATCCACCATTGTTGTGGATGCCTTTATTGAGCTGATTTCTCCATAATCTTTAATGTTTGAATTCTATTTATCCAGTTCATGATGCATCATGATCCTAATTTTAAATAAAATGACACAATTATAATTCCTCCTTTAAGTAGTGCTGAACACTTCTAACGGGGATTTCCTTTAGATGTTCTCTTATGCCTCAATATTAAAAGTACTCTCAAGTATTTACACCTGTTGTTCTATCTTCTTGGCAGGTGTTACTGCAACACTTATTTCAGAGCTTATATCTCAAACAACTATGTTGAAAAGTCTTTGCTTAAGGGAGACTGAACTTGTGGACCATGCACTATATAGCTTTTCAGGATCTTGCTTAGAGATGCTTGATGTGTCTAATACCAAGGTTTCTATATGTAAACATGTCAGACTTTTTGTAGAACCAGTTTAATGCTAAGTGGTACTTAAATACTCGGGCTCTATTTAAAAAGGCCAGTGAAGGAAGATTATCGTAATATGTATTTATAATTTCATATACCTGTAGAGAAGATGCATATTTATTCATCATGGTAGAGCGTCTATTTTGGAAAACAATTATAGAGACTTGGTCATAGATAGGGAATAATGGAATATTATAAGTTGATCGAATGCAACTTCATTATGGATAGAAAGTCATCTGAGTCTTACACATGGATGCATTTTATATTTTCAGGTTTCTGGTCGTGCTGTGGCTCATGTGGTCCAGAGAAATCATGATCTTAAGTTTCTTGTTGCCAGAGATTGCAGACATTTTGTACAGGAAGAAAGCAAGAGTGAGGCAGAAAAGCCCAATGCTTTCTCATGTTGTTGCAGTGAGTTGTACGGTGAACTAGGCAAATCGTGCCAATTGGAGGAAATTGCTGTTGGATGGGGATTTTCATACTTATCTTTTGAGGCTCTACGACCTGCAATTAGAATGTTAAGGGCAATAAATGTAGGTTTAGGTGGATCTATGGGCGAAGATGGACTGAAGATGTTGCCCACTCTCTGTCCCCAGCTGGAGATCGTGATTCTTCATTTCCAGGTAAAACATGATTGTAATCCAAAGATTTAATAGTGGTTTTAACATTTTTAGAGCTCTAGTTAAAGCGGATTCTTCAAATGTTTGAAGTCCCAAAGCTTTTAATCTATATTGGCAACAATTTGTTAAAGTAGAAGATATCTTGAAAATAAATACTTCGTATTATGTGGAGGTTGAGAAAATTTCCCATACATTTAAAATTTAAATATACTGATTAAGTGTCTGTTCTTTAGAGCTTAAACTCTTAACTTTCAGTTTTTTCTATCCAGTTTCCTCCATTTTTCTAGTTCCTTCCCGTTTTTTACAGTTTCCTCTGATTTCTTCTACTTTTTCCAAATATTCCCATTTTCTTCAATCTTTTCATACTTTCCAAATAATGACTCTAAAAATGATATGTTTTTCATGTATTATTATTGTTGTTTTTGTTGTTGTTGTTGTTATGATACGTAGAGGTATTGGATAAAGAAGACTTGGGGCGTCTTTGAGCTCGTGAGAATTTGGGACGAGAAGAAGAAAAGAACCGCCGGCAAGGAACTGTGCGTGAAGACGAGAGGAGTTTAGGTTTTAGGGTTTTATTATTGATAATTCACTCCTTAGGTTACAAGGATACTTGTAGCCTTTGAAGGAGCCCCCACATCCTAATTAAACTAGGTTTTCCTATCTTGACGGTTTATGAAAAGCGACGAGGTAAAGAACCGTAAAGAAACCCTCGAAGGAGCTTATAATTCCACTCACCTATTAAAAGTACTACGTTACAATTAAATAAGAATGAATAATAATTAACTCATGTCAAAATCCCATTGCCACCTCGGTACATGTCGCGCCCTATCAGTCCGGCAAACAGTTGGTTCTTCCTGTGGCAGTAGATCCATAACATATTATTATTATGTTCCTAGCTATAGTTTATTTTTCAATTTTTATTTTTTCCTTATGTCACTTATTTTTGTGATTCACACTCATTATTATTTTTCTTTCATTTTTAATATAAATAATACAGAGTACTATTGTATTGAGAAAAAAATGTTTTTTTAATTACATGACACTAAACGATTTTCTAAAAATTAGGAATATTTTATTAATCTTATTTGACCTGGGAAAAACATCAACATTTTTAATTAAAAATAATAATTACAGAACTCCCTGTGTCCCTCTAATTAAATGGCACACACTCTATTCACGTGGTTGAATTTTATTACATTCTTTACCTATTATATATGATACTTTTAATGATGATAATAGTAATAGTAATAGTAATAATAATAATAATAATAATAATGTTAACAACAATAACAAATATAATAAGAATGATATGTAAATACATTTAAATAACCTTTTGAAGTTCTTTCCAGTTTCTTCTAGTTTTTTCTAGTTTCTTCCAACTCCTTCTAGCTTTTCTAGTTTTTTCATGTTTTTTCCAGTTTCTTCTGACATCCAACTCTTTTTTTCCAGCCCTAAAGAACAGGCTCTAAATGGTTTTCTTATCATAATTACTAGAAATTATTATGACCCTAAAGGGGAAACTGTTGGAGCACAGCCTGTGGGCTTGAGTTCTCCCAGCACCATTTTTGTCTGTCATGCATCTAACTTTTTGAGACCATTATTCAACGGCAATAATGAAAAGTCAAGGAAAATTACATGTTTTTGAAAACACTCAAATTGCTTTGAAGTATCTTCCGTGTTATTGATTGAAACAGGTAATATCTAACTCCATCATACTAAATATCGCAAAGGCTTTGAGAAATTTGCAAGTTTTGGCTCTTTGCTATTGCATTGGTGAGATTTCATTATCAAGCACTAAGTTAAGCATGCCAAATTTGAGAAAATTTAAACTTGAAAGAGTTTCTCCAAGGATGACCAATGAAGATCTGCTCATTCTTACTGGGAGTTGTGTAAATTTGATCGAACTTTCTTTAGTGGGTTGCTCACTTCTTAATTCAGGTTTGTAACTATTACCTAAAAATATTGTGGCGTGATCCTTCTAGGAAGTATCATGTAGGACACATCAAGAAAATCTGCATATACTTTTTTGATTTTAATCTTTAGATTCTTATTTCTTCAAGCATCTAAATATTAGCGTCAATATTTACTTTCTTATACTTCATCCAAGAGAGAATACTCTGAAAAAGTGCTGGTCACAGTGAAATGTGTGTGTGTGTATTAATTTTTAATGCTCTTTTCTTTGCAGAGTCCCAACATATTATTTCACTTGGTTGGCCTGGATTGATCTCAGTTCATCTAGAGGTTGACAATTTACCTAGATGAGAACAAATGACTACGCATGCAATTATGCATAATGCATGTACATAGACAGATGAAAATAATTCTTGGGCTATAACCAATCTAAGTATCTAACTAGATAAGAACCCCAAAAGGATGGCTAAATGGCTTATTTACCTCAATGTGTCATAAAAAACATCATACTCTACTCCGTATTTGATAGGACTTTTTAACCGGATTCATTTGCAATTGCATGGATAATCACCAACATGGATTAAGGAGTAGTACTCAAGTAAAACTACTTGGAAGTTAAACACAGACACACATAGCAGACTATAAAGAAAAACTGTTATCTTTGAAGTGTTAATAAAAAACCCTTATCTTTGTCCTTGTGCATTTGTAATATACTCCGTATATGATCTATGCTATTGAGCATTGATATCTATTCTCTGTTGGACTTGCACTGAGGCTTGTGGGATTGTATCAAATTAAAGTTATGTGATATAAGTTGCCATGTTCCTGTTCGGTAGTTAATAAATGATTGTCGCCCCCTAAAATAGGCATCGATGCCAGTGATATAATTAATTTATCATATATCACCTATTTCAGGTCACAGACAATTGCTGTCATCTTTAGACTTCTAAATGGAAGATATGTATTGTCTGTTCATGATAAGTCTTGGGATTTTTTTATTTTAGGAATGTGGTGAAGTGACGGTCAGTGGTGTCACATCGCTTTTGGAATGTCATGCCCTTGAAGATCTCTTCTTACGGCACAATGTGAGTCTTCTACTCAACTATTTTCATTTGATTTTTGTTCTATTTTCATCTGATCCTTGTTCTTTTTGTTTTGGGTTCCATTTAAAAATGAAGAGACATGTTCAAATTCAACTACAATCGAGTATTACTTAATTTGGAAAGGGTCAACAACAACCCGGTAGGATCCCACAAAAGCAGGGCCTCTACTGGTTGTTGTTGTTGACCCTTTCCAAATTAAGTAATACTATGTAGTTGTATTTGGAAAGGGTTGCGTGCATGAAAAAAGTAGGGATTTTGTTGCATTGTGTTAGGCTAGGGTTTTGATACCATGTGTAATTAAACTACTGTGTATTAGCATGACTTTCTTAATTTTCATTATAATTTCTAAAGACAGTTAAAGGGCATTTACAAAGAAAATGATGGCTCTAAACCCAAGATGAATGCGAAACCTAAACTTGAGAATGGGAAACTGTAACGGTTCTAAAACTAAGATTGCGATTAAAAAACTAAGAGTACTACAATTCTCTATACTTCAACATACATATTCTTATATAGAAGTATGATTAGCCTTATTGGTATACCCGAGCCTAGCCCCAAGAAATTCTCACTCACGCCCTACACTATCATAAGAACCAAAGGACTTATTCAAATATTATGATCCATTTTAGTTTGAATTCAAAGTATCTAAAACCCGTAAGACCAAAACAACCTCTGTTTGACCCGAGGGTTCCATGGTTTACTCCCATTTCAGTCCAACCATCCCAAAACATCCAAAAGCACTTTATACTTCCCTTTTAATTCAAATAAAGTCTTCCCCACTCATTTGAAAGCCCCAGGCTGAAAATGAGAAGAAAATAAAAAGTCAAAACTTTTGTTTGTTTCTTTTAAAGTCCTTTTACCCAAATAATGTCTTTCCTCTTTATTTCCTACGACTATGGACGAAAATCCCTTCATTTTTATTCATAAATCATGCCCCTTTTCAACTATAAACAATGACAAATCACCTTTCTCACAATGAGCCAAAATCAAGATAGAAGTCGTAGAGTTAAATAGTGAAAGTTTGTCCTTTTGTTGACTTATTTCACACCATATAACTTAATGACTTTTCTTTGTCCTTTCTCCCACCTAAGGCCGAAACAGCCCCTATATAAAACAAGGAATATTATCATTCTAAACCCCGCAAATATCCTTTCTTGATTCATATACTAACTGCCGAAAATAATAACTCACATCAAGACAAAAGGAGTCCTCAGCCACACAATGTTCCCTTTTTGTTTTGATCACTAAGGGCCGAAATCTGTCACCAAAACAGGCCAAACAACATCTCCAAAACCCACCCAACATATTCCTTTGATTTGGTTCCCTTATGGCCGAGTTTAACAGCCCAAAACAAGCCAAAGGAAATCCCACCTTATCCTTTAATTCAATCCACTAAGGAGATAAAAAAACAAATGGTGATTATTCTTTGATTTGTGAGAAGGAGATAGGAAGCTGCCTATGTTGTTATTATTGTATTGCTCCACCCATATTGTTGTATATAGTTCGGCCTTATGGCCATTGCAAACCAGCTTTTGATTATAAAAAAAACTTTGCTTACTCTTTTGAGTATTCTCTTAAAATAGTGTGATGCTTTTTTAGCCAAATACCTAATTCTATATCTTAAGAGTGGTTCTCTTAAGTGTGAGTTTTAGGTTCTAGTTATTTGATTGAGTGTGTAATATCTTGATTAAATACTAGAGTTTAACCCCAAGTTAATCTAGAGGTGAGTTTATCCTTTAGTATTAATTTGGTTCCAAATTAAGATAAGAGTGTGTCTATCTCTTATTCTTGATTTGGTATTTATCCCATCCTTTCTAAAACCATCCTCCATCCCAAGTTTGCCACTCTTCTTCATAATATCAAAAACCCAAAAAGAACTCCTTTCACATACTCCATATTTTGCCCGCCCATTCCCAATTCATTATTCCACAATTCCATCTTCAAAAGGAGTAACTTGATTATACCCCGGGTCACGGGTATAACACTTATAGTGGGCTAGCACTACACTAAGGTTTACAATCTAGTCATCCAGGGTGTCTTAAATTTCTATTGTAGTATTCTGGGTAGCTGGGTGGTGGTAGTGAGTATAGGTAGGAACTGAGATACATAGGTAGCCTGATAGGTGGTAGAGAGTATGTGCTCTGGAGGAAAGTAGGTGATTGTAGAAGTTGACACACGGTGTTTATCCAATTTATTGTAGGAGTTTATTTGAACAAACTTGTAGTTAATGAGTAAATAGGCAAATATCTTTAAGTATCATAACTCATCTCTTATTTTATTAGTTTAGTATGTTCTACTATGCGCGTCTTGAATTTACAAAATTTATCCTGTATATATAGTGACATGACATAATTATAACAACTATCTCAACTCAATGTCGTNAGGTGGTAGAGAGTATGTGCTCTGGAGGAAAGTAGGTGATTGTAGAAGTTGACACACGGTGTTTATCCAATTTATTGTAGGAGTTTATTTGAACAAACTTGTAGTTAATGAGTAAATAGGCAAATATCTTTAAGTATCATAACTCATCTCTTATTTTATTAGTTTAGTATGTTCTACTATGCGCGTCTTGAATTTACAAAATTTATCCTGTATATATAGTGACATGACATAATTATAACAACTATCTCAACTCAATGTCGTCTCATGATATGTCTTCCATCCAAGTTGAAAAGCTTTTAATGATGGGTATTGTGGAATCTCCTATCATTGTTCATTTGTAAGAAAGGTTTGAGAATCATCTACAGAGTATTAACTAGAGTACTGCAACACACCACGGTCACAAAACATTAACATGTTTCCCCCCACTGATTTATAGTGTAAACTGCTACTGCTTCGGTTCCCAATCGAACTTATCATTTTCTTTTTTCATGGAGTTTAAGAAAAAGTAAATTCGTGTGGTTGATATTTATGCAGAGAGAAAATATTTGAGCCAAACTCTTTTCTTAAAAGGTAACATGATTTTATTTTGGGATGTCCCAAAAAGGAAAATGAGAAATTCTTTGTGGGCGGAGGGAGTATCAAACAATTAATGGATACTATGAATTTCAAGCCACAAAACCTAACATAGGGTTAACTGTTAAGGTGACGATGAGAGGATAAAATAGTGTGTTAAACACCAAATTAAACAAGAAAGTATGATTTCAATAGCTCATTTGTTAATAAATATTCTCTCCGCTCATATGGAGGGAGTGCGTAATACTTCGTGAAAAATCATTTTCAGCCAATGTTTTTAATTATGTTTAAATCTCATAGTTGTAATTTTCTTGAAATGATTTGATCACTGTCCGTTGCATGCTAATAAGTTGCCTGAGTTCCGAATTGCAGGGTCCTGGAATGCAGAGGGATACTATTTCTCGTGTTGCTTCAAAGGTAACAAATTCATTTGAATGGTTGATGCCTTAACCCATTTATTTGCTCCACCTACTACTAGCATTTTAATTTATGATGCCAAGTATTAATTACCCCGTAGTATAATTTGGATCAGATGCCATTACTTCGAAAGATATCACTCGATGTTTGTGATGCCATGGATCGTGACTTCGACATCCCAAATGTAAGAGGATGCAACAATTTTATTCTCTACTGTTCTTGCATCATCTGGACCATGCATTATTGACTGAACATTTTAGGCAACCTTTCTCATTCTCTGATAAATTCACCGTACTGTTGTGTTCTGGGTTGTGGCAATTCATACACATGCATTAAACCATGGTCAGGAAAAGTTGAACTTCCATAGCTACTCCGCCTACTTGCTCAGCGGGGGTTGATGGAAATGATGTTTAGAAGAATATATGAATGACTCCATATAGGAGAAAAGGAAGTTTTAAAAAAAAGGATGAATTCCACCACAAATGCTGCACTTGCTATGTTTTTCCCCAATAGAAATCAAAACCTTTTCTGATAAAAAAGAGAAGGAAAAAAAGAAGTGAAAACCTTTATGGTAAAGGACTAAACCCCGCCCGCCACCTAGGGCCCTCATTTTGGTTAAAGACGGACTTGATCATAATCTTACCATTCTTACCACATCTCTTTGTATGCTCTACAAGTATGCATTCATGCATTGCATCTGTGATCTATATAACCATATTCTCTCAAAAGCTAGCCATGGACATGCAATAAATTTATATTATAGCAGGGTGTTTTTCCAAGATTTGTCCACTAATGACCATGTACAGTTCACTGACAGGTATCCCTTAAGTAGTGTGAGGATCTCAAGATGCAAGCAGAAAAGGTGCACTCTAGACTTCACGGGCTACGCAAGCCGGACAGTCCCAGTGCATGTAGAAACACTAGTGCTGGTGTGGAACAGCAACGGACTCACAACGGCTGTTGTCAAAGAAAGATTATAGCACTAGAAAACTATGCACTTAATCGTTTTTTGTATTTTCGAGCCAGAACGCTTCTGAGAAACAACATCTATACACCCTTTTGGGCAGAGATAAGGTTTGTGTACGGATGACCCCCAATCCCCACCCCCATTCATCATAGCATAGTTCAACATTTTTGCTTCTAGTGGAGATGCTAATTTGTTTAGAATTTACTGCTTCTATGGAATTGTTCCTTTTTGCAGAACTTAATTGAACTGGTAGTTGTAATTTTAGTGCTTGTAGTTAGTAACTTGTACAAACAACTCAAGGCTAACAACACGCACAAGTCAAATGATTTCAAATTAATTTCAAATTCTTACCGTCGTGTATAAAAGGTGGTCAAAAATGTCACTAGCCATAAAGGCACATAGGCCAAACTTAATTTCAAATTCTTACCGTCGTGTATAGTTCACATGAGCTCTAAGAGTAAGATTTATCACCAAATGATTTTTATGGAAGGTTCATGGCCCTGAAGAGGTCAAAAGTGAACGTTTTATTTTGGTTGAAAAAGTAGGTCTAGAGTCACTTGACTTGGGTAATGAAAGTAAGTATCAAACACATGTCTTAGTCAATGTCCTTCAACCATAATCTCATAAACTACATCTTTCGTACTTTGGAGGAGTTATGGTCTTGGCCGGTTAAGAAGTCCAACTCGGGAGCGAGATATCTAGGTTAGGCGTGGATATTTGTTTTGTAGTGCGTGTGGAGCTGCGCCCTAACATAGTACCCCGTTTGGCCTTATTATGGGTCTAACCCGTTAAGTTATGTACTCCCTCCGTCTTAAAATTAATTTCCCGGTTTGACTTTTGCAGTCAAACTTTTTAAATTTTGACCATATATTACGGGAAAATATATTAAATTTTCATATAAATTTATTATCAATAGATTCATTTTGAAACATAGTTTTGAAATATGATATTTTTATAATATATATTCATATAAAAATGGAGATATAAATGGTCAAAGCGTCGCATTGGAGACCGTGAAAAGTTAAATAAGAAGTTAATTTTAGGACGGAGGGAGTAATAATTTAACTTTTTTTAATTTATGCAACACTTTGACCACAATTAAATCAAATATAATTTTATGCATTTGAATATTATAAAAATTTGATACTCTGTATATCAAAATTATATTTTTTAAAATGAATCCAAACTTACTAGATTTACACTACGCGGAGTAACTAAATATACTTTTTTCATAATTTTTGGTCAAAGTGAAACATAATTTGACCAAAAAAATTATGGTCTCAGCCGGTTAAGGAGTCCAACTCGTGAGCGAGATATCTAGGTTAGGCGTGGATATTTGTTTGGTAGTGCGTGTGGAGTTGCGCCCTAACATAGTACCCCGTTAGGCCTTATTATGGGTCTAACCCGTTATGTTATGTACTCCACCGGTCTCAAAAAAATTATCACAATTTAGCTTTTTTGTTTTAATTTATGCAACACGTTGACCACAATAAAATGAAATATAATTTTAAAAATTTGAGTATTATAAAAATTTGATACTCTATATCAAAATTATATTTTAAAATGAATCCAAAATTACTATATTTACATTCACCTTGGTTCAAATGACATTGAGAACCAATGTCATTGTATGACCCGGGGGTGCTCCGGTGGGGGGGCGCGTTCGGGTCGGGGCGTGGTGGGGGGGTTTACCGGGGGGTTTGGGGGGTAGGAACCGTCAATTTTGCGAACGGGGCACCAGAGCACCCCCGGGTCATCCCATGACATCGATTCTCAATGTCATTTGAACCAAGGTGAATGTGCATTACGCGTACACCAAAGGTTTAAACCAAGCACGACCATAGCTTTGAAGAATTGAAGGTGCAATATTCTTCTTTTTTTTAGTTTCAGGACTTGGAGTCACTTTGGCATAACACACCTCAAGCTCAATCATGGAGGAATTTCTGAAGAACACTCAAATAGAGCTTCAAAGTTAATTGAGTATATCAACTGTAATTACTCTGTAACTCAAAATTAATTAACCTTTTTCTTAAATTTCAGATAGCACCCATTATATCGTCATGCACGAAAGAAAGAAATAACAGATTCTTTGAATGCGAAAACTCAACCGACCCATGCAAGGTCTTGGCAACAGAGGATCTGTTAACATCGTTGCAGACCCTACAAACAGATCAAGAAAGCAAGCATTTTGCCTGGATCAAGGTCCCAAGTACAGCCCCTGTTTTCCCCACTCACACTGCAAAGTAAAAACGTTTCAAAGTTTTTTTTTTTTTTTGCAGAAATCAAAAAATTCATATTCTAAAGCCTCTCAGAATAGCTTTTCAAAGCATATTGCGCTATCTATGTAATATGATGATAGAAGTGTAAGGCAACAGTTCTTATCTCTACTTTTAGAAGAGAACTCGGGGGGCGAAAGTTGAACAAACAAATGTTTCTCTGTATAGTTCTCTCCGTCCTATTATGTAAGCCTTTGCACCCTCAGTTCATGCCTCCCTCCAATCCAAGCTCATATCATCATCCTCGTCCAGTCGTCCATACTATGAACTCAACAAAAGGCTTTGTTTTGTGACAGAAACGATTCGTGTCCCTTCTTTCACACAAAATCAAAATGACGGTGTCCATAGACAGGGGGAAAGATGAGTGTGGCAAAAGAAGAGGTGTTACTCTGTTTCAGTTTCTGAATCATCTTCGGAGCTTGAGTGGGAGTCCTTGTGAGTGGTGGTGGTTTCACTGGCCACAACTTTTATCTTCTCCTTTTTTGTGTCTTTAACCACTTCTTCATCTTCACTGTACTCGCTTTCATAGTCATCATATCCATCGTCATCCTCCACCTCTTCTTCAATTCCTTCTTCAATGGCAGATGGAGTGGTCTCATCCGCCGCCGTGGCACCACCAATCCCCCGTGTCCCAGCCCTGCTGCGTTTCAAAACCTTCAGTTTCAAGTTTGTCTTTGCATCACAACCGATCCAAGAGTCACATAAGCAGAAAGAGGTCAAGTTGTAGTTCCCCTCTGGTGGGGCCTGGAACTTCCCCATCACAAGCCTTGACCCATTTTTTACTTTCTCAATGGCTTCCTTGACAGCGGTGTTTATTTCCCTGGCAGTAGCACCAGACCCCTCCTTTGACTCTTGGATTGCTTTTGAAGCGGCAGCCACGGCGGTGGCTTCATCCATGAAGCTTAGCTTCTGTGATAGCCAAACATCGTTTGAAGATGGGTCAGCGAGTAGCAACCAAAAGTTCTCCTCTTTGTCAAACGGGAAATGAGGAGAGTGTGGCAGTGCACGGATCAAACCATTACGGCGCTTTAGAGTGACCCAGGCGTGCATGGTTACAATGTCACCTTCTTGAATCCCCTCTTCTCCTTCTGTCTCGCACGAGATGTCAATTGTTATCGAAGGTATCATCTCGAGAACCATCTCAACATCTTGGGATTCAGCATCAGAGAACCCAGCAGCTTGAGTCAACAAGTCCATACGCTCTTGTGCACTAATGTCTACAAAATCTTGAAAGGTGCGCACTTTCTGTAGTGGTGATTTTTAAGCCACAGCAACGTTCAGATGACAATGCACAAAAAACATTAGATTATGTTACTTGAAGCTAAACTTCAGGATACTGACGTTGCATGACCAACAAAGAAACAGTGATGCTTCCACTAAGTCTCACCTTTCTGCCGATCTTCTTTATGACAGCCTCACTGAAATGTGGTAGCTGAAGAAAAGGACCATATCCTTCACTAGATCCACCTGTTGCTTTTCTTGAACTAAGTTGAACAGCCTGAATCATCAGTAATACAATGAATTAGACATAGGATTCTTCTGTTTGAAAATTTATAAACCAGTTCTAATAATTTCAGATGGGTATACAGGTGGATCAATGCCCCAGTTACATCTCAAGTAATTATAGAATAATGTGACCAGTGCACTGTCTTGGTCAGATATAACAACACCAACATAATCCATAATGGGGAATAAAGACCAATTATCTGCTGCTGAAAATAACTTGCAAGAACCCTAAGAAAAGACTATTTTTCGCAAGGGAAGTCCAAAGAAATGTCACAAAAGGTAGGTACGGCATGAATTCACTCTGATGCCAGAAGCCAACATTATCTTAAACAATGGTCATGTTTGGAACTTGGTTATTCAAATGGCTTTTGGTTGTTTTGATAAATTTTGGCCGATTTGACCGGTCAAACAACCAAGGAGTGTGTGCCAGTTGGAGTTGGCCCAACGTGTTCATGTGTTTGGGCACTCCTACCTTAGGATGGTGGTTGGCTATTGGATGTTTGTGTTGGTTAGTTTGAATGTCAGGTTGAGTTAGTTGTTTTGACCATGTGATTCTATTAGTTGTTCATGAAAAAAGTTGATGTTACATTTAAGGACGTGTTTCCATGTTTTATAAATTATATAATATAATATAATATAATTTATATAATATAGTATGCTCTGCAAAATAATATATGGAGTAATTTATATACATTTTATTTATTTATACATTTATTAGTATATATTTATTTATATATACAATAAATAAACAATAACAACAAATTGAGGAAAACCAAAATGAGAAGTGTGGGCAGGTCTCAAAGCTGTAACAACAACAAAGCATTGGGTTTTCAGTAAATAGTAGAAACCTGAATAATACTCTGAGACAATTCAACCACTCCAATTGCTGGCCTCAGCCATCCATGCCCAAGTGGAGCGCGTGGTATAATTGCCATCTGCAATAATATAAATAATACATCATTAGATCCTACATACTGCATAAATAGAATTTAAATAAGCACATACAATTACAAGTCGTCAATAAAAAGAGCATATAACCATATATGTGCACTTCACTTACACAAGATGCATGGTAAGATCAACAACAACAACAACAACAACAACAACAACCTAGTTAAATCCCACAAGAGTAGGGTCTGGGGAGGGTGTGTGTACGCAGACCTTACCCCTACTCGAAAGTAGAGAGGCTGTTTCCAAAGAGACCCCCGGCTCAACGTCGAAAGTTGAATTGCTTGACTAACTGTTACTTCATTAATTAAAGAGGCGCAGACAGTTGAGAGATCCATTTTGATTTATTCCATCACACCCCAAAGCCAAAAAATGGTGAAATTTTGGCTCCATCGGAGATGATGGAAATGAATAAGATCAAGGAATGGTTTTAAAAATGAATAATGCTAGGGTGCCACCACATGGGTGCACTCATGATTCGCCCAGACAAACACAAAATCATCTGTGTTGCAGACTATTAGGGTCTGGGTTTGTCTGTGCGAAGCATGGGTGCACCCATAGTAGCACTCATGTGGTGGCACCCTAACAAACCCTTTAAAAATTCCTAAAGAACATCACAAGCTTTAGAAGTCTAGAGAGACATTTTTACATAATCCCATCATAGATGTGTGCGACAACCAGTATCAATGACAAGTACAGAAAATGGAGGATCAAATTGACAAAAGGTCAAAGTAACAATGTCGCAACAACATGCAAGAAGGCTTGTGAAAGTCAAACAAAAGTAGAACTGAAGCATGAGACAATATCTGTCATTAGAGGCATACACTAGCTCATTCTTTTATGTATGCCATTAATTCCTAAGACTTGCAGGCTAAGTGTTTCCAATTAATAGCAGAGAGCCAGAAACACTCCAAATAGTTTCAACAGAAAAGTTGCAGCAGAAATGATAATTACATTAACTGACTTCAAGTATATTGACAAGCTTCTTACCACCATTGACAACTATTTTTGGAAGAGAATTACTGAATAATAGTTTTTTCATGAATAGATAATCAGTCTGAAATTCAAAAAACAATTACCAAAACATCGTAATGAAATTATTAACAATAAATTCATACTATCGCAAATACCTTCATCAATTCTTCAAGAAGACGAGGAGCAAGCTCAAGAACATGTCTAAAATCATGCTGCAGATTTGGAGATAATGCTGATGTTTCACGGGTTAGCTGAGCTTGAACCAACAATTCAGTCTGTGCATAAGAGGAAAATATGAAGAAATATTTTATCACAAACATAAAATAGAAGAAAAGAACCAAGGGTTTGACCTTCACTAATGCAGGATGCTGCTTCCAAAACTTAGCTTGCTCTTGACGAATGTTTTTAAGATCTAAATTCAGCTCACTCCTTACTAACATAAACAATTTCTGAAGAGGTTCCTCGTCGATCCGGCGTACAGGAATTTCCATGTATTCAGAAGCTTTGATGAAGACATCCATGACCTTGCTGTACGATCAAGCAACATCATTACAAGCACAGTATGGAGAATAGTGATGGTCATGAAAAATAGAAGTATACTTCTGACTATATCCCTAGATGTCTAGATGAGTTGATTAGCAGAGAGCTGTAATGTCACCAGTCGTGCAAACTACACAGAAAAACAATGTTCAAGCCTTATCAGAGAAGCATTTAGAAGGAGCATACCTTGGAGCTAAAGATGGCTTCATTAAATGGTAATACGCGGCTAATGTTGAATGCATAACATAGTTTCCAGTATATTTTGCCGACCTTGATAAATAAATGACTGCAATTGTGAGAGGTAAAATGATACACACTCCTACTATTCCAAGCAACAGTATCCCACCAGATGCTCCATCGATATTTAACAGGAACTGAGGAAGGGCAATGCCCATTCGAAGCCCCTACAACAAAATTTGAGGACTCCTTCAATTTAAGTCATTTCCTCCAAAAATAAAACACATTTTAATGTTGAGTAAAAGATCACTTTCTTCAAAGATAAGAAAATTGTAAACAACCTGCCTCCCATCAGGATGACCATATTTCTCAAAGTTTTCCCGTGATATAGGATCTGTTAGAGCTTGGTATGCCTTTGAGATATACTCCACAAAATACATATGTGCCTCTGCAAGAAAGAGTCTTCGGAATAAACATAATGCATTACACTCCAAAGAAAAGAAACTCAAATTGAGTAAAAAAGAAATTAAACCTGGATCCGGATTCTTATCAGGATGATATTGAATTGATAATCTCCTATATGCTTTCTTTATTTCTAGGTCGGAAGCTCCGGCTTCCAGCCCAAGTATACTGAATGGCTCAAATATTTCAATCTAAAAGATATAGAGAGACTCTTAGTGGCATAAGAATGCAAATGTATTTACTTATTGACTAATTCACTTTTGTTTTTTTTCGTTTTTGCAAGACCTGAGATTGAGTAGTGATGACGGTTTACGTTTTGATATGAAACCTGATCTCTTTTCTTTCTCCATAAATGTTGAATAATGTATTTGAATGTTACTAGATTTCCAAAGGAAAATAGTTGTAAAGAACTAATATGCGGAACTATAAAGCCTAATGAATATACAATGTATAGCTATTTTTTATGGATAAGTCAAAATTTTGGTTTAATGGGATCAAATGTAAAAACGTATAGGCACCATTTGACCATGCCACCACGGCATACAACTATACCAGCATACATCTGTTATGTGTGCACACACGTAGATACGAAGTTACTCTTACAAGTTGACTGTTAATCCATCGTTGTCCCTTTTCAATGAAATTTGGCATTTTGACTATTGAATAAAATGTTTTTCATCTTTCATTCTTTCAGAGGGTCCAATTAGCATTTACAAATTTGCCTACCCCATCATAGTCACACACACACAGTATATGTGTACTGTTAGGAAAATGACATAGGTTATTTCTGCTAATGCATTGCCTTCTCTCCTGATTCTAATGACATAATTTCAAGGAGATGTCTGTATAACATTTCAATTCCATCTTGTAAATCTTAATGTGATGTAGAGTGAAGACGAGAAGGACTTGAAAAATTGATTGGTAGAAGAACGTGGAACAAAAGAGCATGGAAAGATAAAATGTAGTCTAGGTAGTTAGTAATTCTGATGCATTTTTATGCTCATACCACCACAGTTTAAGCCCTTTATGAACCATATATGATACAGATATAAACAATGAAACACTGTCTGGAGCACGCTCACGCTATTTCATTAAGAAATTTCTTCCTAAAAGAAATACGTAGTATAAAGAGGTTGCCCGAATGCACTGTAATCAATTATCATAATAAACAAATACCTCACTGCTAATAGTTTTTATGTAGTACACCAGTACACCCATTACAATCCAGAGCAGTACAATTGTCAAATTGCTATAAGTTGAGAAGTTTGATATCTGAAATCATGAAATAGCTGTTATAAACAAAGTGATAGCATAAAATTCACGTGTTCAAGCATTAAAACTACTAGTATCAAAAGTAATATAAATACTAGTATCAAAAGCAACATGTAAACTCGGAAACTTGCCCTCTTAAATATGGATCTCCTGTACTTCCCAGACTGATAACAAACTGAACATTGACAGTTGATGCTGGTAGACTTTTTTGTAAAAGCTCGAATTAACTTGACAATTGTGAAAGGCACTAATGGCAGAGCCATTAAAGTCAGGACGAAGATCGGGAAAAGTGAACTAGTCTCTTCCGATGCAGCCATACTGTCTGAACTCTAGAGACTATGATCCTGCAACAGAATTTCAAATCAAGTAATTGATAGTGATTAGTGAAAACTCAAAATGTAAGCTTAGTCTATCATCCTACACTTGCAAACAAAAATGAACTACAGTTGCAACTTTTACAGCCTGTATGGAAAGTTCAAGAAATTGAATTCCGTCAAGCATTTGAATTCTAATCCTTGATTTGGAAGACTACGTACAATGGCCTGAAATGAATTCCAATCAGAACTTAATTCCTTCAATTTTTTCCCAAACAAAATCAGACCTAAATAGGTCTGATCTGTAAATAAGACTTCTTAGATCCGAAAATACACTTGTCGGATTTAAACAGCTCAGAGCTTATTTCGACGGTGCAGACAAATAGGACCGCCGAGCAGGCATTGATGCCCCGGCGTTCGACTAAGATGAAGAACTCACCTTCCGGCACCGGCGAGATGAAGACGAGATTAAGATGGCACAGAAGCAGCCGCAACGGCAGCTTTCAAGAGGGGAAAGATTGTGGGCGCTGCTTGATTACCTCCATTTGCAAAATGGAAGGGCGTAAGTTAGGAGTATAAACAAAATTTAGGATGAAAATAACGAGGATCTACCCCACATTTTGTTGAGAATGAATTTCCAAAGTCTTTTTTCCCATGGAAATCTCAGTAATACATAAAAATATATTAAAATGTGTCTTTTATATTTTTATTTTTGAAATAGGAGTTTGCAGTGTCGTAATGTAGAAGTAATGCGGCATTGCACATTACTATAGTTTTTGGTAATATACATGACCACGTTTGGTAATGTAAATGAAATTTAACTCTTATTTTGGGAATAAAAATAAGAAGATCTTATTTTAGTATATTTTCAATGTTTTACTTCTACTTTAGTCTTTTTCCCTTTTCCAAACTATTTCTAAATAAGTAGTAATTATATTTATGATTCTTTATAATTAAAATTTATCTTCCATCAAAAAAAATTTATATGGTGGTTAAGTGAGGCATATTTTAGTATTTTTATCATTCAAAATTAGAACAAGTTATGAAAATGGTCTTTTCTACACCGTAGTAATGTTTTTCAAAGTGGACTTTTTTTCAGGGTGCACATGCATCCAAATTATGTGGGTGTTTTTCAATGCTTATAAGAAATTTTTTTAAGTCAGCTGATTAAATGTTCATGTACGCTTATAATATTTTTATAAAATATTATTGCACCCTTTTGTGGCTAAGGAAGTGAAGGATGTAGTAACACCCCACCCTGGATGACCCGAATCATCTAGACCAGAGTGCTAGTAAAACCCGGTTGCTTAGTAAAACATTTTTAAAAAAAAATTCTCATTTCGATACTAAAGAGTTTTCGAGTAGGTAAAAAAAAGTAATAACGTTCATAAGTAAGTACAACTTGGGGTTTAAGCCCAAACCAAAATATGTTCAATAATTTTTTCAATTATTTATTTAAAACAGAATTTCCTTTCTTAGCACGGCCTCCACGTCCAAGCTTTCCTCCTCAGTAGTTGTTCCCCTTTTTAGTATTTGCGTGCAGTTAAACACTACATGCTCAGCATAATCTGAGTGGCAAATAACCAGTAGACATATATAACATGTAAATATATTTTAGAGCATCTCAGATTAACCATCTTCAAAACTTTTCACATACTTTAGAATAACATTCTCACTTTATAAAGGATAGTCGGGGACATTAGAAAACTCTTGATCTACCTAGGTCAACCACAGATTAGATACCAAGCCGTGACTAGGCTGGAACCCCGCACTAGTCGATACGTAGTTTTACTTCGAATATCTCCCCGTGACCTTGAATCCAGTAATCAGAAGTGAACCCTAGACCCACGGGGTCATAGTTGGGTTCTCGTGCGCACGTTGTGGTATGATTATTTGTAGGCTCATCCACTTGGACACATATGATCCATCCTTATAACATGTGGTTTGACCCACTTGATGAAACGTGACAATACTTAGGCTCCGCTCCGTTCAACTTATTTTTTCTGATCTGATCTGATTCTAATAAGTTCTGATCTGATCAGGTCTGATCTAATCTGATCTGATTGGATCTGATCTGATTGGATCTGATCTGATCTGATTGGATCTGATCTGATCTGATCTGGTCTGATCTGATTAATTATGATTTAATTTAAAATTTCAAATTTCATATTATAATATAATCAATATTTTTTATTTAATGATAATTTTTTTGTAAAATTAGAATTATACATTAGAATAAATATTTAATTTAGATATACATTTAAAAGTAATTAAATTTAGATAATCAATATATAGAAGAGATAGTATTTTTATTAAAATATCTCATCCTTATAAAAGATCAAAAGTTTAGAAACTCAAATTACAAGTAGCAATAAAAATATATTTTAAAAGTAGAATTAGATTGACATTGTCAATGTATTTTAAAACTAATTTTTCCGACGTCTAATAATTAAGGATTACTTTCTCAGCTTTTTATTTAACCTATTTCTAAAGTTTATTCTTTTTCATTTTTAAGAACAATAATAATAATAATAATGATGATGATGATGATGATAATAATAATAATAATAATAATAATAATA